AGCCTTGTTGAGTTGGAAGAGGGCTTAGTGAGTTGGATAAAGATGAGTGGAGGAGATGATGAGCTTTGTTGCCTTGGAATAGGAGGTGATGGGATAATCATGAAGTACTTGAGGGATGAGTTGGCAACTTTGGTGACTTGAGAAAGGAAGGAATGAAGGAATAAATAAGAGGCATGTGGAGGTTGATGACTCGGAATTGGAAGCATGTGCTTGAAGGCACATGGAGGGAGGAATATTGGAGGAGGTGCATGACTTGGATAATATTTGGAGAGTAAGGAAAGAAAGCACATGGAAAATCATGAGAAGTCTTGTGCCTTATGGTGGGACTTGGAGGTGAATAGAAAAAGTTGTTGAAGTCTAAGTTGAGTTGGATTAGGAATGGCTATGGTGGTTGGGAGTAATTAAAGAGGTGGTTGATAGGCTTGAGTTGGAAAGGATGAGTTGGAAAAGGAAGTTTGTAACTTGGGTGGTTGGAATGGGCTTTGGAGGAGTTGAGTGGTTTGGATGGGTTCTTAGGAAAATGTGTCGAGGGTGTTTTGAGGGGAAGGGGTTGGAGTGGCACAGTAGCGTGGCACGTGAAGAGCATGCCATTCAAAACACGCTTCTCGTATTAAAATCCTACGGCCTATCCAGAGTACATGTATCGCTACACTAGAGCACATTCTTAAAAAACTGTAATAATAATCAGAGGTACACTCAACCAATGTAATTCTGTCTAATCCTATCAACCACAAGTCCACAGCTACTCCATGGCAGCATACCATCCATGCCCACCCCGGCATGGACTGGCAGCGCACTGCACAGGCAGAGAGGAAGGCTGAGCCTGGAGCATTGCCAGGACCAAGACGTGCGGGTGCCCTACTAGGGACTGGCTCTGCTCACCCCCACCTCCACCAAATGACATCACTGCTGGCCAGACAGCTTTGTCACTTGGTGGGGGCAGGAGGGGACAGAACCAGTCCGGTTTGGCCCGGAATCGAGTCCCCAGCCAATGCTCAAAGCTTCACCCCCTCTTGTGCACTGGCCACATGGCTTGCAGGCTTGCCGACCATGAAGGCACCTGCAGGCAGAAGAAACATAAAGATTAGTCCATGCTCAAAAAGAGAAATAAAACATACAGCTTGCAGCAAAGCAATTCAACAAACAAAATACAGCCATGTGCATGAAAAAGAGAGCTCGAATGAAGTGGCTGAAACTTATCTGTGGGTTAGGAGCTTGGAGTGTGGAGCAGTGCTTGAGCATTGAGACAATTCAGCAGGCCATGGCTTGCCACCCACTGGGACTTGCCGCCCATGAAGGCACCTGCAGGCAGAATAAAGACAACCATTAGTCCATGCTAAAAAAGAGAAGGCAAAAAAACAGCATGCATCAAAGCAAATCAAGAAACACAATAAAGCCATGAGCATGAGGAAAAGGAGCTTGAAGGTAGGGGCTGAAACTTATCTGAGGTTGAGGAGCTTGGAGTGTGGAGCGGTGCTTGAGCGTTGAGGCGCTTCAGCAGGCCATGGTGCTCCCATGGATCTTGGGCTTGCTGAAGTGTGCAGCCGTGCGCAAGGTCTTGGGGGTCCATGGCGTGTTAATGGCGCTTGGAGAACCTGCCATGAGGCAATATGAAACAAGTCAGTGACTGTAGAGTTGAAGCACAACTTGACAAAAAAAGGAATCAGCGAGCGTGGAGTTACCAGTGGAATAGCATTCGGGCGAGAAAGCACGAGAAAAAGGCTCAAGGTTGAAACTTATCTTGCAAAGCTTGAGAGTTGAGGGGCCTCAGCAGGCCATGGTGCTCCCTTGAATCCTGATTTGTGGGCTTGTTAAAATCCCTTAGTGCAGCAAATCTGCCAAGTGCAGAAGGAAATCTGAGTTAGTAAACCAAGTCAATGAAGGCAAACGAACGAACATGCAGCAAGTGGCTAAAACGAAGAGGGATGAAAACTTACTGCTGGTGGACAGAGAGGAGGCACCTGCCAGGTGCTGTTGGCAGGTACGTTCACCCCGCCTTGGAGCTTAGCCGTGAGGTTAAGTGGCTTGAATAGAACCTGCAAGGATATCAAAGGAACTAGGTTAGTGATGAGCAGTAAACCAAGCATGCAGAAACGGACTGTGCTGCAAAGGTGCAAGTGCCACACAGAGCCTACCTATACCAACCAAAATACCTTAGGGGGACCTTTACCAACACCTTTACCAACCTCCACCTTAACCAAACCTGAACCTGAACCAAGGGGGGGGGGGGGCTCTGTGGCGTGAAGAATGCGTGGTTGATACGTTCAACCTTCACCAGCCGTGCAGAAGCTCCACTGTTGCCCGCCATGAAGCATGGCAGGACGCCAAAAGACGTTGTTCCTCCAAAAAACGCAGTACACCCTCGGATATAACCTGCAAGTAAAGAAATAAACGAGAATTAATAAAGGTCGGACAGCAAAACGTGCAAAACGAAAAAAAAACGAGGAAAAAACGAGCCAAATACCAACCAAAAAACCGTTAGGGGGACCTTTACCAGACCTGAACCTGTACCTAACCTCAACCAGGGGGGTGGCTCAGGAGTGTGAAGGGTGAGATTGATACTCTTAACCTTCACCTTCACAAACCGTGGAGCTTCTCCTCCGTTGTCCGCCATAAGCAAGGAATGACGCCAAAGGATGTTGATCTTCTTTAATCTTCGAAACGCCTCGCAACCTCCATTAAATCCTGCGAGTGTAGAAAAATCATATGGTTAGTATACGGAAGTGAAGAAGGGATGCAACGGAAATAACGACTTTGCGAAGTGAAGAAACATGTGCTGACCCACCACAGAGCCAATACCAACCTGTACCGAAAAAAAAAAACCTTTACCACACCTGTACCGAACCTTAACCAAACCTTTACCGGGGGGAGGAGGCTGTGTGGTGAGTGGTGGTGAAAGGGTGATACATTTGACCTTCACCGTCACAAATCGGGGAGATCGATGTCGCTCCAGCCACGTAGTAATTGGCGTCGCGACGAGGTCGAGGAAGAGGATGCAGATCCACGCACGATTCAATGATGTCCTGCGAATGGTGAACACCAACGTCAGAATGGGCGTCGAAACAAACTGACGGTCGAGTACATCGAAGGAATCACGACGCTGATACAAAAGCGTAATAGGAATGGTGGTTGTACCTGAGAGGCAAGCTGACTCGCTACGTTGCAGAAAGTCCCATGGTCGAAAACGGTGACAGGCAAGTTGACTCGCTACGTTGCAGATAGTCCGATGGTCGAGGTCATGAAGCTATGCCATCCGACCAACGATGCAGAAAGGCTGGACTGGCAAACGTGCCAAAAAAGGTGCGAAAACCTACTGTAATTCCGAGCAAAGGAGCCGGATCTGGAAGGGAGCTTGCAGAATGCGTGCAATTCCTAATTGCGGATCGTCGGGACGCGGTATTCGGTGAAAACCGTCAACGGTAGGAATTTTGCCTTGCTGGCTTTGATGGTGGTCCCAAGCATGCCACCCTGGACTACGGTGGATCCAAACGATTCGCAAACTACACGATCCCCAGCTTCTAATTGGACCGCCAAACGATTCCCAGCTTCGGATTGGACCGCCTAATGTGGAATCTATTAATTGCAATGACAAGAATATTCCACGTCTTCAATTTGAGACATGTAGGCTGTTTCAATGGCCAGCAAAGAAACACGGTTGGAAACAAAAAAGCTCGAAAATCTAATGACGTGGCCAAAAAGCTGCCGTTCAATTCACCGCCGCGGTTCGTTTCCCGAAGCGTGAAACGAAAATAAGCCGCTCCAGTGCTAAGGAGGCGGCTGTTGGCAGAAGAGGTGGGAGGGAAGTTGATTTCTGTGTGGTTTGGGCGTGACAGCAGCGGCGGTAGAGAGAAGCCACAGAGCAGCTGTGAAGCCATCATCTGCTGGAAGGAGAAGCTCGGGTCATTGGTTTAGCGAAGTGGCGAGCTCACAGGTTGTTCGTGAGTGGATGGAAACTGGGTTTCGCCAACCCTTGCTGTAGTTAACGAGGTCCCGTTGAGTGGCGACGTGGGTTGCAAAAGGAGTGGCGACGTGGGTTGCAAATTCGCCAGTCTGTGAATGTGCAGATTTGGTGGATGTAGTACCCAATGAGGTAAAAAGCGGAATGTACCGCTAGCACCGTACAGCAACGTACAATACCGTACCTTCTAGCACCGTACAACACCGTACAATACCGTATCTTTTAGCACCGTACAGCACCGTACAATACCGTACATTTTAGCACCGTACAGCACCTTACACACCTTACAATACCGTTGTTGTGTGAACAAGCAACAACATTTTCGCAATCCCAAGGCATACTTCCGGTTTCCCGCGAAAAATCCCCGACTTTCGCGTTTCTGCGGTAGTTCCGCCTTTCCTGGGAGTGTTTTGCTGTTGGGGCTGTGCACAGGCAAACAGCAGGGACTTCAACATTAGCCGCTGCGGTAAGTTGCGAGTGAGTGTATTACCATTATAGCATAAAGGTGGACTGTTTTTGAAAATACGGTACGTCTGTATGTAGCATAACTCGCATGGAAATTACATATTGATTTGTCACAAGTCGTCTAGAAAGGGCTATCCAAAACAAACAGAGATACCTAGCTTTGCGGGAATGTTGATTCACACTGCTGTGAATTAATCTGGATTGCTAACGCTAGATTTCACTCAACTTGCAGCAAGTTTTTCTTTCCATTCCTTGCAACCGGGTCCTCTAATCGTGTTGCAAGGCCCAAAGAAACGCAAAGAAGCACTGTTGTGAATTCTGGTGTCAGACGGGTAGTTCTCAAACCCAAAGAAAAATTGAGCCGCTGGAGCAGTTTCAATGGCTTCAGGATTCAGGCAAGTCAAGGTCGATATCATCATACCACACCTTGAAGACACAAGCACACTCAGTAGCTCGTCCTCTCCCGTTCCAACAGGACAAACTCAATACCTAGGGACCTACCTACCTGTTTCGACTGCCCTCGAGCCCTCCAGAATGCATTGTTGTCGTTCATACTGTCGGACATTCGAGATGGGTCTCAGGCTGGCACCAGTCGAGAGGAAGAGACGGGAGGAGCGGCGCGAGGCATGGCGTGGCACGGCATGGGAGAGGGGCAGCATGCGCTCACATGGACATGGGGGATTGGGAAGAGATGCTGCACCACCCCAACATGCTGACTGGGGCGGTGTGCGGCAGGTTGGAAGAGGAAGAGCAGGGAGGAGCGTGGCATGGCGCAGAGGCAGGCGTGAGAGAGCAGGTGGAAGAGCAGGCCGGTGGAGAGAGGCAGGGTGGCGGGGTCGGGGAGGACGCGAGCGAGGTGCTGCAGGGTGTGCCTGTGGTGTGTTGAGGGGAGGGTGGGAGAGGGAGGGGAGAAAGCGACAGAGAGTAATGGAGGAGTGTTTAGGAGTTAGGAAGAGCATTCAGGGAAGGAGTGGTGGGGCATGGAGACTGATGGCCTGGCCTCTTTCAATCAAAACAAAGAATGGACGCATGATCACACAACTAGTCAGAAGCACATTGGAGTTTCAAAAGCATAGCTGTCACAACAAGCACGGACCGGAGAGCTTCTTGCCAGTCGAGCATACCAGTGAGCAAGGAGACATCCCCACAGGCCGTGCCGCACTGCCGCCTCTGCTTCTCCTCCTGCTGCTGCCGCCGCTACCCCTGCTGCCGCCAGTCGTGCAGTCAGTGGCAGTAGTAGCGCTCTCGTATGCTGCTCAGCTGATGTGCGTCCATTCCCTGCTTCTGCCTGCACTCACATAGACATGCCAGGTGGAAGGACGCATGGGACAGAGAGGATGGGGAGGAAGGGGAAGAAGGGGAGGAAGGGGAAAAAGGGGAAAAAGTGGGAAATAGGGGCGGAAGTGAGAAGGGAGGGTGGAGGGGGTAGTTAGAAAGGGGACGAGAGAGACATGGGAGAGTGAGAGACAGAAGGTCAATGCGGAATAGCACACAGCGGTGGGTTAGGAGAGAGTGCGAGAGGGGGGTGGGAGGAAGATGGATGGGAGATTACCGTGGTGGCAGATGGGAGACGGTGGGTGGCAGGCAGTGGGTGGGGGATGCGAGTGAAGGCAATGGTGAAAAGGGGAGCAAGGAATGTGCGGGCGTGCATGCAAGAGGAGGTGAGGAGTTGTCAACAGTCCACACGAGAAAGGACATGAAGCGGCATACGCATGTGAAATGGACAGATGCGCATCACATGCCAAGGCACAGAATGGACATCCCCCTTTCCATATCTCACCCCATCCCATCCCATCCCATCCCATCCCATCCCATCCCATCCCATCCCATCCCATCCCATCCCACTCCATCCCATCCCATCCCATCCTCCCATCACATCCCATCCCATCCCATCCCATCCCATCCCATCCCATCCCATCCCATCCCATCCCATCCCATCCCATCCCATCCCATCCCTCCCATCCGCCCCCCCCTCCCATTCCCGACATACGATGAGAGCACGTGCAGGCAGGGCGGGCAGGAGGTGGTGCAGGCGCTGCGTTGCCAGCTGCGGCAGTGGCAGTGCGTGGCTGCACCCACACGCGCTCTTCTCCTGCAGCCATGCTACCACGGGGAGGAGGCCAAGGGGGGAGACGGGGAAGGGGAAAGAGGGGAAGGGGGGAGCGGGGGAAGGGTAGAGAGGGGGAAGGGGGGAGAGGGGAGAGGGGGAAGGGGGGAGAGCGGGGGGGAGGGAGGTAAAAGGCGCCTGAGAAACAGTGGCAGAGTGTGGCTGGACCCACACGCGTTCATCTCCAGCAGCGATGCTAGCGGAGGGAGGGGGAGAGGAGGGAGGAGGGGAGGGGGGTGTAAAGAAGGAAGGTGAGAACATGGGGGACGAGAAAGCCGGAGGATAAGAAGAGGGGGAATGATAAGAACGGGGGGAGGGGGTTGAGAAGATGGGGGATGAGGAGAGCATGGGTGCAGAGCAGCAATGGTGAACACATGGGATACAGCACGGTTCAGTGCTCTACCGCACATAAAACGAGGTCATCACCTGTACTCCCGGCTCACATCACCTCCTGTCCCGCACTCCCGCACTCCCCACTGCCGCACTCCCCACACGCAACTCCCACACTCTCCCCCTCGTGCCTCGGAGGGGCATCAGTACCTGCGGAGGGCACGGGCACCAGGGAGTGGGGCGAGAGGCAGCAGGGGCGGGCGTAGCAGTAGCAGGCGATGGGGACCAAGAAGAGCGCGCCGCCAGGGAGGAACGAGAGGCCCGCTTGCAAGGGGCCCGCTTGCAAGGGGCCCGGTTGCCAGGGGCCCGCGCCCTCGCCCGCTGCTGCTGCCGCGCTCGCTATCACCGTTGACAGGGAGAGGCTGGAACGGGTGGAGGGGAAGGGAGGGTGAGCGGAGGGACGGGAAGGGAGGAGAAAGGAGGGAGACAGGAGAGGAAAGTCTAGGCGGAGGGAGAATTTAGTGCGTCTGAACCGTGAAGCGTGGTTACATATCCTAGAGCGCATGAGCACGTGTAGCAAGGGCGTAAACGCGTACTGAGAAACGGAGAAAGCAAACCGTAAAGCAGGTACTGGTGCACGTGAAACGGATCACGGCTAGTAACGCGTACAGCGGGTACGTGGAAGGCGCGCTGGCACTCGCCATGCCCGCCACTTGCGCGCACCCCGGCTCGCTCTCGTGGCGACGCCCTCGCGTCGTCGCAGCCCTCGTCGCCCATCGCGCGCGTCGTGGGAGGGAGCAGACGAGGGGGAGGCGCGCGGAAAGAATCGGCGCGGAAAGAATCGGCGCGGAAAGAATCGGCGCGGAAAGAATCGGCGCGGAAAGAATCGGCGCGTATCCCGTCACGAGAGGCTAAGGGGCTGAGCCGTTGGGTGCGTCAAGTGCATCAAGTGCATTTAGGATACGGGAGGTAAGCATGGTATGACGCTGAAAAGCGGTGGCAACGGCACACACGACGGCGCTCCCGATCTCTCTTTCCCGCATCATCTCCTCTATCCTGACGATTAATCCCCACTGCGCGGAACTCGCGACGACGATAGACAAGCCCTTCGCTGATAACGCCGCGTGAATCAAGGTGGCAGAGATTTGAGATGCGAGGAATGGATGAACGGCTCCGATTGTACCGATCGAGGTCGCAGAGGCGGATTCTCTCGCGTGTAACGCGCAGATGCTGCTCCCGCGAAGCAGCAGGCAATGGCTGGTTGTACCACCCGACCGGCCCGAACTCGCCGTGGCATCGCTGCGCTCTGCGGTGCGATGGGACAGCACCATCGACATTTCCGACGCTTCGGCTTCGGACGCGACGCGACGCGAGCCGAGCTGACCTCTGCTTTCACTCACGTTCTCGCCTTGGAATGGGAATGGGATGAGGATTTCCGCTCCAAGAGATGCGATGCGACGGACATGAATCGCACCAAGTTCAAGGCTGTAAGGATAAGGTCTGGTCTGCCTGATTGCTCAGTTCGTTACAATTGATGCCTGTTTGAGCCCCTCCCGGTTGCCTTGTGAAGGGGGCATATAAGCTGTATCGTGTCTTTCGCATAGCTTTCGTCAATTCGCAGCTAGCTAAAAAGGATTCGCAGGTGCTTATATTAAGTATCTGTAACCATATTCGTTGACATTTTGACTTCAGTCTCTTCAGTTTGACTTCAGTCTGTTCGTTACTATTGGTCCATAACCACGCGACGCGCTTGTATTGTGGGTGCAACAGGCTGGGAAAAGACCTCGGGTGCAGCGTTTCCATCTGGAGCAGGGCAAATTCGCATGCACTGGTTGGGCATCATGTGTACTTGGTCGGAGCCGCGAGACCAGATAGGTAAAAGCCAAGGGAGAGTTTCGAAAGGGTGCACTGCACTTCAGGACGGTGACATGCGATTTTGTGCTTTTTGAAGGACTCATTGCTAGAAAGTCTGCAATTTTTTAACGATACAGGCTGCATATTTTTAATGATACAGGCCAGAGAACACAGGCCTACATATGTTTGTAGAACTACGTACTTTAAGAATTCTTGCATTGGCATTTCTCATATTAAAATCCACCGCCCTATTCAGAGTACTAGTATGGCTACACTAGAGTACATTCTTATAAAAATGAAATGATATTCAGAGGTACCGTACACTCGACCAATGTAATCCTGACTACCATAATCCTATCAACCACAGGTCCACAACTACTCCATGGCATGCCATCCATGCCCACCCTGGCATGGACTGGCAGTGCACTGCACAGGCAGAGAGGAAGGCTGAGCCTTGAGCATTTCCAGGACCAAGACGTGCGGGTGCCCTACTAGGGACTGGCTCTGCTCACCCCCACCTCCACCAAATGACATCACTGCTGGCCAGACAGCTTTGTCACTTGGTGGGGGCGGGAGGGGACAGAACCAGTCCGGTTTGGCCCGGAATCGAGTCCCCAGCCAATGCTTAAAGCTTCAACCCCTCTTGTGCACTGGCCACATGGCTTGCAGGCTTACCGACCATGAAGGCACCTGCAGGCAGAAGAAAGATAAAGATTAGTCCATGATCAAGGAAGAGAAAGAAAAAATACAGCATGCACCAACGCAAATCAACAAACAAAAATAAGCCATGTGCATGAAAAAGAGAGCTCGAAGCTAGGGGCTGAAACTTATCTGTGGTTTAGGAGCTTGAGCGTTGAGACGCTTCAGCAGGCCATGGCTTGCCACCCACTGGGACTTGCCGCCCATGAAGGCATCTGCAGGCAGAATAAAGAGAAACATTAGTCCATGATAAAAAAGAGGCAAAAAACCAGCATGCATTAAAGCAAATCAATAAACACAATGAAGCCATTTGCAAGAGAAAAGGAGCTCGAAGGTAGGGGATGAAACTTATCTGAGGTTGAAGAGCGAGGAGTGTGGAGCAGTGCTTGAGCGTTGAGGCGCTTCAGCATGCCATGGTGCTCCCATGGATCTTGGGCTTGCTGGAGTGCAGCGGTGCGCAAGGTCTTGGGGGTCCATTGCGTGTTAATGGCGCTTGGAGAACTTGCCATGAGGCAATATGAAACAAGTCAGTGACTGTAGAGTTGAAGCACAACTTGACAAAAAAAATAATCAGCAAGCGTGGAGTTACCAGTGGAATAGCATTCGGGCGAGAAAGCACGGGAAAAAGGCTCAAGATTGAAACTTATCTTTCAAAGCTTGAGCGTTGAGGCGCTTCAGCAGGCCATGGTGATCCCATGGATCCTGATTCTTGGGCTTATTAAAATCCCTTAGTGCAGCAACCTGCCAAGTGAAGAAGGAAATTTGAGTTAGTAAACCAAGTCAATGAAGGCAAACGAACGAACATGCAGCAAGTGGCTAAAACGAAGAGGGACGAAAACAACTTACTGCTGGTGGACAGAGAGGAGGCACCTGCCAGGTGCTGTTGGCAGGTACGTTCACCCCGCCTTGGAGCTTAGCCGTGAGGTGCTCCTCTGACAACATCTGGAGCGTGGCTTGAATAGAACCTGCAAGGATATCAAAGGAACTAGGTAAGTAAATGAGCACTAAACCAAGCATGCAGAAACGGACTGTGCTGCAAAGGTGCAAGTGCCACAGAGCCTACCTATACCAACCAAAATACCTTAGGGGGACCTTTACCAACACCTTTACCAACCTCCACCTTAACCAAACCTGAACCTGAACCAAGGGGGGGGGCTCTGTGGCGTGAAGAATGTGTGGTTGATACGTTCAACCTTCACCAGCCGTGCAGATGCTCCACTGTTGTCCGCCATGAAGCATGGCAGGACGCCAAACGATGTTGCTCTCCGAAAAACGCAGTACATCCTCGGAATAAACCTGCAAGTAAAGAAATAAACGAGAATCAGTAAAGGTCGGACAGAAAAACATGCAAAACGGAAAAAAAAGTGGAAAAAACGAGCCAAGTACCAACCAGAAAACCTTTAGGGGGACCTTTACCAGACCTGAACCTGTACCTAACCTCAACCAGGGGGTTGGCTCGGGAGTGTGAAGGGTGAGATTGATACTCTTAACCTTCACCTTCACCACCCGTGGAGCTTCTCCTCCGTTGTCCGCCATAAGCAAGGAATGACGCCGAAGGATGTTGATCCTCTTTAATCTTCGAAACGCCTCGCAACCTCCATTAAATCCTGCGAGTGTAGAAAAAACATGTAGTTAGTATACGGAAGTGAAGAAAGCATGCAACGGAAATATCGACTCTGCGAAGTGAAGAAACATGTGCTGACCCACCACAGAGCCAATACCAATCTGTACCGAAAAAAAAAAAACCTTTACCACACCTGTACCGAACCTTTACCAAACCTTTACCGGGGGGAGGAGGCTGTGTGGTGAGTGGTGGTGAAAGGGTGATACATTTGACCTTCACCGTAACAAGTCGGGGATATAGATGTCGCTTCAGCCACGTCGTAGCTGGCGTCGCGACGAGGTCGAGGAATGAACGCAGATCGGCGTAGCTTCGCTACGTCGCAAAAACTCCCACGGTCGAGGTAATGAAGCTCCACGATTTGACCATACGATCACGGCAATGCTGAACGGCGTCGACGTGAGAAGATGGTGAACGGTCGAAACTGGTAGCGCGATCGAAAGCCAAGCTTGATTAGCAAAAGTGCCAGGAAGGCTACGGAAACTAACTGAAAATCACGAAAAGACGAGCCGGAATACGAAGAGAGACTGAAGATGCGTGGAATGTCTAATTTCGGACCGTTGGGATGCGGTTTGGAATCAGTGAGCGGCTGGAATTCTCGCTTTGCAGGCTTCGAAGGTGGTCCCAAACATGCCACCGTGGACTACGTGGACGATTGTGGATCATAAGGAATCGCCGACAACATGAAGATCAGCTCTGATTGGACCGCCAAATGAGCCCCAACGTTTGATTGGACCGCCAAATGAGCCCCAACCATTGATTGGACCGCCAACGACAACACTATCCAACCAGTATGTCCTCAATTTGGGACAAGGTATGCTGTTTCAACATCCAGAAAAAAACGCGGGTATGCACACGAACTTCGAAATCTAGTGACGTGGCCTCAAAAACTTCCGCTCATTCAACCGCCGCGATCCGTATTCCGAAGCGTGCTGCTAAATTGAGCCGCTCTAGTGCTTAGGAGGCGGCTGGCAGAAGAGTTGGGAGGGAAGTCGATATCTGTCTGGTTGGGTCTGATAGCAGCGGCGGTAGAGAGGAGCGATGGAGCAGCTGTGAACCCATCATCTGCCAGAAGGAGAAGCTCCAGTCATGCCTTTGCGGCTGGAATTGATGTTGCGAAGTGGTTGGAACCTGTGATTCGCCAACCCTTGATGTTCCAGAGGTCGCGTAAAGTGGCGACGTGGGTTGCGAAAGGTGTGGCGACGGTGAAGTAACTCGTCATTCTATGAGTGTGCAGATTTGGTGGATGGGGAACACGGGAGGATGTTGGATGTTTGAAGGAAGGTGCCATCGGGTTGAACACAGTTCGGAATATTTTAGCGGATTTTCAGTGCGGTGAGAAGTCAGTCTCACATACATATCCCACACCCTCGCCTATTGTCACCCACGTTTGCCCGTCGTGTCACTCGATACAGTTCAGTACCCAAAAAGCGGAATGTTCAGCTGCTCACTAGCACCGTATAGCACCAGACAATACCGTTGCTGTGAAAACAAGAAACAGCGTTCCCCCAATCCCAAGGCACCTTTACGGTTTCCCGTGAAAATCCCTAGCTTCAGCATCCCTGCAGGGAGTGAATTGCTCCAGGGCCTTGTTTCGTGATTCGCTCTTGCCCACGTGTTCCCGAATTGCTCGAGTGGCGATCAAATTCGGTGATAATTGCTCGAGTGGCCACACCAGGGCATTTTCGATGTGTTTTTTTTCCCCGGCACATTACCCTGCAAGGATTGTATCCCCGAAATGCCTCGTTTGCGCGGGTCTCCTCCCGCGGTAGTGTTTCGTATTATTCCACACCCGGAAATTTCGGATGGGTGGCGGGAGCGAACGTGGCCCACAGTGTACACGAAACTGACAAGAATGCACGACCAACAGTAGATGCGCGATCAATGAGCGCGCATATGCTCGACCAATGAGCGCGCGGTCAAACACATCAGCGATCAAAAACTGCAACGCCGGAGCATAAATGCTCGAACCCATAAGTAACCGTGCATGATTGGTCGATAATATTCATGGAGCCCTTTTTGGCAATGCGCGTCCAATCAGGCGCGGTCATTTAGTTCACGACCATATATTACTTCAATAAAGAGGTCGCCCAACAACCAATATGATCGCGCATATATTATGATAAATTGTATCATATGTCCGGTCCATATAAAAGCATGTATATGAAATGCCATAAATATATTCTCTGCTTTTACATTTAGCCAGAGTTTATGTTTGTGCGTGTGTTTTTAACATATGATTCGCGACACCACCTTAGTCTCAATTGCGCGATCAAATATGGTCGCAATTCGTAAAGATGGCACCTGATTGGACGCGCAATTCCAACAATTGCACCGCGCATATTCTTGACGAATCATGCGCGGGCGTTATTGCTGTTGCGGTTTGATGCTGGTCAATTGCAGTATATGATCGCGGAGTTTTATGCTCGATCACTTATTGGTTATTTGTTGGACCGGGCGCTCATTGGTCCCGCAACTAGCTGAAATTGATCGCGCATCTACTGCTGGTCGTGCATTTTTGTCGGTTTCGTGTACACTGTGGGCCACGTTCGCGCCCGCCACCCACCCGAAATTTCTGGGTGTGGAATAATACGAAACACTACCGCGGGAGGAGACCCGCGCGAACGAGGCATTTCGGGGATACAATCCTTGCAGGGTAATGTGCCGCGGAAAAAAAACACATCGAAAATGCCCTGGCGTGGCCACTCGAGCAATTATCACCAGATTTGATGGCCACTAGAGCAATTCGGGGACACGTGGACAAGAGAAAATCACGAAACACGGCACTGGAGCAAATCTCTCCCCTGCGGGAGTTCCGCCTAGTGTTTCGCCGTGCGGGCTGCACAGGGATAACAGGTGGCGTCAGGACAGTGGACAGCATGACTTCCACATTAGTCGCTGCGGTAAGTTGCGTGTTTGTGTATAGAGGTGGACCTTCTAATTCATCAAGAGTTGTATGTAGCATTGAAGATGTATTCTGGTTTGTCACAAACCGTGTTGGAATGACTATCCAGAAACTAAGGTACTGAGAAAACTACCGGTAGCTTTGCAGGAATGTTGATTGTCTCTGGATGGTCACTTCACGCACTACCATTCATTAATCCGGATTTCTGACGCTAGAATTTCACTCAACTTGCAGCAAAAAGAAAAACTTTCAAATCCTTGCGGCAACTCCTCTAATCGTGTTGCAAGGCCCCTTTATGCAGAAGCATTGATGTGAAGTCTGGTGTCAGACGGGTGATTCTCAAACCCAGAGAAGAAATCGAGCCACGGCTGCAGTTTCAATGGCTTCAGGATTCAGGCAAGGCAAGGTCGATATCCTCATACCACACCTTGGGAACACATGTACACTCAGAAGCTCGTCCTCTCCCATTCCAACATGACAAACTCAATACCTTGTGACCTACCTGCTTTGACTGCCCCCGGAATGCACTTCCTTTGTTAGAACTGTCGGATATTCGAGACGGGTCTCACTCAGGCTGCTTCGAGACTGTCCCGCTCTCACACGCGTTTCTCTGAGAGCCTCTCTGCCTTGTGTGTTACCCCGTCCACAATGAGCCTCCATCTTCACTCTTCCTGCATCCTACCTGTTGACGTAAAAGTACGAGAAGGAAGAGACAAGAGTCGCCGATGAGAGTCAAGGGAGAGAAGCAGGTCGGTAGAGGAAAAGAAGGGAGGAGCGGCGCAAGGCATGGCAAGGCACGGCATGGTTTGCGGAGGGACAACACGCACTCACATGGACATGGGGGATGGGGGGGGGCAGCAGATGCTGCTCCAATCCAACATCTCTCGTGAGGCGGTGAGCGGCAGGTTGGAAGAGGAAGAGCAGGGAGGAGCGTGGCATGGCGCAGAGGCAGGCGTGAGAGAGCAGGTGGAAGAGCAGGCCGGTGGAGAGAGGCAGGGCGGCGGGGTCGGGGAGGAGGCGAGCGAGGTGCTGCAGGGCGTGCCTGTGGTGGAGGGCGAGAAGGGGGGCGAGAGACAGATAAATGAAGAACGTGGGGGGAGGATGTGTGTTGGCGTGGAAAAGCAGGTTGGTGGAGAGAAGTAGGGTGGCGGGGTCCGGGAGGAGATGCGAGAGATGCTGCAGGGCCTGCCTGTGGTGGGAAGGAAGGGAGGGGGGGGAGAGGGGAGGAAGGGGAGGAACGGGAGAAAGGGGAGGAAGGGGAGGAAGGGAGAAAGAGGGGGGAGGGGGGGGAGGGTGGTTAACGGGGGGGGATAGATAGGAAGGGCACGAGAGAGACATGGGAGAGTGAGAGACAGAGGGTTGGGGCTGGCCTAACCATGCGCTTGCCTAACCATGCGCTGGGCTAACCATGCACTGGCCTAACCATGCGCTTGCCTAACAATGCGCTGCTGGCCTAACCCTGCGCTGGCCTAACCATGCGCTGGCCTAACCATGCGCTGCTGGCCTAACCATGCGCTGGCCTAACCATGCGCCGCTGGGCTAACCATGCGCTGGCCTAACCATTCGCTGGCCTAACCATGCGCCGCTGGCCTAACCATGCGCTGGCCTAACCATGTGCTGCTTGCCAAACCATGCGCTGGCCTAACCATGCGCTGGCCTAACCATGCGCTGGCCTAACCAACCATGCGCTACTGGCCTAACCATGCGCTGGTCTAACCATGCACTGCTGGCCTAACCATGCGCTGGCCTAACCATGCGCTGCTGGCCTAACCATGCGCTGGCCTAACCATGCGCTGCTTGCCAAACCATGCGCTGGCCTAACCATGCGCTGGCCTAACCATGCGCTGGCCTAACCATGCGCTGCTGGCCTAACCATGTGCTGGCCTAACCATGCGCTGCTGGCCTAACCATGCGCTGGCCTAACCATGCGCTGCTGGCCTAACCATGCGCTGGCCTAACCATGCGCTGGCCTAACCATGCGCTGGCCTAACCATGAGCTGGCCTAACCATGCGCTGGCCTAACCATGCGCTGGCCTAACCATGCGCTGGCCTAACCATGCGCTGCTGGCCTAACCAAGCGCTGGCCTAACCATGCGCTGGCCTAACCATGCGCTGGCCTAACCATGCGCTGCTTGCCAAACCATGCGCTAGCCTAACCATGCGCTGGCCTAACCATGCGCTGGCCTAACAATGCGCTGCTGGCCTGACCATGCGCTGGCCTAACCATGCGCTGGCCTAACCATGCGCTGGCCTAACCATGCGCTGCTGGCCTAACCATGCGCTGGCCTAACCATGCGCTGGCCTAACCATGCGCTGCTTGCCAAACCATGCGCTGGCCTAACCATGCGCTGGCCTAACCATGCGCTGGCCTAACCATGCGCTGGCCTAACCATGCGCTGGCCTAACCATGCGCTGGCCTAACCATGCGCTGGCCTAACCATGCGCTGGCCTAACCATGCGCTGGCCTAACCATGCGCTGGCCTAACCATGCGCTGGCCTAACCATGCGCTGCTGGCGTAACCATGTGCTGGCCTAACCATGCGCTGCTGGCCTAACCATGCGCTGGCCTAACCATGCGCTGGCCTAACCATGCACTGGCCTAACCATGCGCTGGCCTAACCATGCACTGACCTAACCATGCGCTGGCCTAACCATGCGTTGCTGGCCTAACCATGCGCTGGCCTAACCATGCGCTGGCCTAACCATGCGCTGGCCGAACCATGCGCTGGCCTAACCATGCGCTGGCCTAACCATGCGCTGGCCTAACCATGCGCTGCTGGCCTAACCATGCGCTGGCCTAACCATGCGCTGGCCTAACCATGCGCTGGCCTAACCATGCGCTGGCCTAACCATACGCTGGCCTAACAATGCGCTGGCCTAACCATGCGCTGGCCTAACCATGCGCTGGCCTAACCATGCGCTGGCCTAACCATGCGCTGGCCTAACCATGCGCTGCTGGCCTAACCAAGCGCTGGCCTAACCATGCGCTGGCCTAACCATGCGCTGGCCTAACCATGCGCTGCTTGCCAAACCATGCGCTAGCCTAACCATGCGCTGGCCTAACCATTCGCTGGCCTAACCATGCGCTGGCCTAACCATGCGCTGGCCTAACCATGCGCTGCTGGCCTAACCATGCGCTGGCCTAACCATGCGCTGGCCTAACCATGCGCTGGCCTAACCATGCGCTGGCCTAACCATGCGCTGCTGGCCTAACCATGCGCTGGCCTAACCATGCGCTGGCCTAACCATGCGCTGCTTGCCAAACCATGCGCTGGCCTAACCATGCGCTGGCCTAACCATGCGCTGGCCTAACCATGCGCTGGCCTAACCATGCGCTGGCCTAACCATGCGCTGGCCTAACCATGCGCTGCTGGCCTAACCATGCGCTGGCCTAACCATGCGCTGGCCTAACCATGCGCTGGCCTAACCATGCGCTGGCCTAACCATGCGCTGGCCTAACCATGCGCTGGCCTAACCATGCGCTGCTGGCCTAACCACGCGCTGGCCTAACCATACGCTGGCCTAACCATGCGCTGGCCTAACCATGCGCTGGCCTAACCATGCGCTGGCCTAACCATGCGCTGGCCTAGCCATGCGCTGGCCTAACCATGCGCCGCTGGCCTAACCATGCGCTGGCCTAACCATGCGCTGCCTGCCAAACCATGCGCTGGCCTAACCATGCGCTGGCCTAACCATGCGCTGCTGGCCTAACCATGCGCTGGCCTAACCATGCGCTGCTGGCCTAACCATGCGCTGGCCTAACCATGCGCTGCTGGCCAAACCATGCGCTGGCCTAACCATGCGCTGCTAGCCAAACCATGCGCGGGCCAAACCATGTGCTGGCCTAACCATGCGCTGGCCAAACCATGCGCTGCTGGCCTAACCATGCGCTGGCCTAACCATGCGCTGCTGGCCTAACCATGCGCTGGCCAAACCATGCGCTGCTGGCCTAACCATGCGCTGGCCTAACCATGCGCTGGCCTAACCATGCGCTAGCCTAACCATGCGCTGGCCTAACCATGCGCTGGCCTAACCATGCGCTGGCCTAACCATGTGCTGGCCTAACCATGCGCTGGCCTAACCATGCGCTGGCCTAACCATGCGCTGGCCTAATCATGCGCTGCTGGCCTAACCATGCATTGGCCTAACCATGCGCTGGCCTAACCATGCGCTGGCCTAACCATGCGCTGGCCTAACCATTCGGTAGCCTAACCATGCGCTGCTGGCCTAACCATGCGCTGGCCTAACCATGCGCTGGCCTAACCATGCACTGGCCTAACCATGCGCTGGCCTAACCATGCACTGGCCTAACCATGCGGTGGCCTAACCATGCGCTGCTGGCCTAACCATGCGCTGGCCTAACCATGCGCTGGCCTAACCATGCGCTAGCCTAACCATGCGCTGGCCTAACCATGCGCTGGCCTAACCATGCGCTGGCCTAACCATGTGCTGGCCTAACCATGCGCTGGCCTAACCATGCGCTGGCCTAACCATGCGCTGGCCTAACCATGCGCTGCTGGCCTAACCATGCGCTGGCCAAACCATGCGCTGCTGGCCTAACCATGCGCTGGCCTAACCATGCGCTGGCCTAACCATGCGCTAGCCTAACCATGCTCTGGCCTAACCATGCGCTGGCCTAACCATGCGCTGGCCTAACCATGTGCTGGCCTAACCATGCGCTGGCCTAACCATGCGCTGGCCTAACCATGCGCTGGCCTAATCATGCGCTGCTGGCCTAACCATGCATTGGCCTAACCATGCGCTGGCCTAACCATGCGCTGGCCTAACCATGCGCTGGCCTAACCATTCGGTAGCCTAACCATGCGCTGCTGGCCTAACCATGCGCTGGCCTAACCATGTGCTGGCCGAACCATGCGCTGGCCTAACCATGCGCTGGCCTAACCATGCGCTGGCCTAACCATGCGCTGCTGGCCTAACCATGCGCTGGCATAACCATGCGCTGGCCTAACCATGCGCTGGCCTAACCATGCGCTGGCCTAACCATACGCTGGCCTAACCATGCGCTGGCCTAACCATGCGCTGGCCTAACCATGCGCTGGCCTAACCATGCGCTGGCCTAACCATGCGCTGGCCTAACCATGCGCTGCTGGCCTAACCAAGCGCTGGCCTAACCATGCGCTGGCCTAACCATGCGCTGGCCTAACCATGCGCTGCTTGCCAAACCATGCGCTAGCCTAACCATGCACTGGCCTAACCATGCGCTGGCCTAACCATGCGCTGGCCTAACCATGCGCTGGCCTAACCATGCGCTGCTGGCCTAACCATGCGCTGGCCTAACCATGCGCTGGCCTAACCATGCGCTGGCCTAACCATGCGCTGCTGGCCTGACCATGCGCTGGCCTAACCATGCGCTGGCCTAACCATGCGCTGCTTGCCAAACCATGCGCTGGCCTAACCATGCGCTGGCCTAACCATGCGCTGGCCTAACCATGCGCTGGCCTAACCATGCGCTGGCCTAACCATGCGCTGCTGGCCTAACCATGCGCTGGCCTAACCATGCGCTGCTTGCCAAACCATGCGCTGACCTAACCATGCGCTGGCCTAACCATGCGCTGGCCTAACCATGCGCTGGCCTAACCATGCGCTGGCCTAACCATGCGCTGGCCTAACCATGCGCTGGCCTAACCATGCGCTGGCCTAACCATGCGCTGCTGGCCTAACCATGCGCTGGCCTAACCATGCGCTGCTTGCCAAACCATGCGCTGGCCTAACCATGCGCTGGCTTAACCATGCGCTGCTGGCCTAACCATGCGCTGGCCTAACCATGCGCTGCTGGCCTAACCATGCGCTGGCCTAACCATGCGCTGCTGGCCTAACCATGCGCTGGCCTAACCATGCGCTGCTAGCCAAACCATGCGCTGGCCAAACCATGTGCTGGCCTAACCATGCGCTGGCCTAACCATGCGCTGCTGGCCTAACCATGCGCTGGCCTAACCATGCGCTGCTGGCCTAACCATGCGCTGGCCAAACCATGCGCTGCTGGCCTAACCATGCGCTGGCCTAACCATGCGCTGGCCTAACCATGCGCTAGCCTAACCATGCGCTGGCCTAACCATGCGCTGGCCTAACCATGCGCTGGCCTAACCATGCGCTGGCCTAACCATGCGCTGGCCTAACCATGCGCTGGCCTAACCATGCGCTGGCCTAATCATGCGCTGCTGGCCTAACCATGAATTGGCCTAACCATGCGCTGGCCTAACCATGCGCTGGCCTAACCATGCGCTGGCCTAACCATTCGGTAGCCTAACCATGCGCTGCTGGCCTAACCATGCGCTGGCCTAACCATGCGCTGGCCTAACAATGCGCTGGCCGAACCA